CAAAACGAAGAAACAAGTTTGTCCTATTCTGTTGTACGGCTGGACGAAGCAGAGCAGTGCCATAGGGTAAGACAAGACAGATTGCAGTAAGTTTTATCCAAATGTTGCCGAATTCAATTCGATTTGAAAAAAATCTAGCAAACTTGAGCAGTATTTATGCATGAAGATAGATAAATTGAAACTGACTTTGGACCCAATAGCATTTCAAAAATTCTAAGAAGAAAACTTTCACCTTTGTCGTGTTCTGCCCTCCTCTGAAAATGTCTAATTTCGTCAAAAAAAAACGAAATTTTCAATAAATATATAACTGAACACTCTCAATCCTATGCCTTAAGAATCAATATAGCTTTGAATTTTCTTCCTCCGAAAAAGTGGATTTTCGGCAAAAAAAGTCGATTCTCTCATTACAAAGCTATTTTTTCGAAAAAATGGATTTTTGTCAAAAAAAAATTTTTTTGGGAAAAACGCCTTTTTGCATCATAAAACCACTTTTTGAGCGTAAGAGATGATCAGATAGTCTACAGTTTATGCTGTTCTGATCATATGATTATTGATAAGTGGATTATTTTGAACAAGTCTCTTGAAGTGTTTTCATCATTGAGGAAACTATTTTCAGAGTTAATGTACGAATTGTACAAAAATTCAAGTTACAGATATTGCTTGAAACTTCAAATAGTCTATGGGAATAAGCTTGTTTGAAAATAGATAATCACTAACAAATACGTCCTTCTGAAAAAAAAACAAAATTTTATCATTTGTCTATGCAGCAATATTCGCATAATAAACTGTTTTTGCGATACACGATATTTCAAAAACTTGTTTCACGTTTTTCTTAGAACGCGGATTCGACGACGCATCTCCAGCAGCATTCTATCACAGTACGAGATAAAGTCAAATCTTTTTTGTTTGAAAGCTCGTGTTTAGGGCTAGCAACTTTCGTGGTCTTTTTTTTTATAAAAAGGCTTAAACAAAGAAACGATGTATTCATTATTTTTTATCTTTCCTCAAAATTCCACTATTTTCATAGAATTTCGACCTCGCACATGGCCCAACAAGTAAAAAAATCAAGAAAATCAAAAAAAGGCGACGAAAGTTGCTAACCCCAAGAGTTATCTTCTTTAAAATAAAAAGTAAGAATTGGCTCTGTCTTAATGTAGTTAAATGCGCTTGGAGATGTGGTAGGTACTAAAATGGCGGAGAATTGCAAGGTTGTTGTGCAACAGAAATCCAGTTCTATACTGGTATTTTATGGCTTCATTAACAGCGAGAATAAGATAAGAATGGAGTTTTTTCTTCGTCATAACAGCAAAAGGTGTGAAACAAAGAGCATGGCTTTCTATTTGTTTCTTACCGTATGACAAATGAACGGCAGGTAAGTGAGAAAGATAAGAAGTTTGTTTGCCAGTACAAACGAATCTGCTAGAAAGATCGTGACTAGGCATGAGCAAAATGATCTCGTCCTACCAGGACCAACGCTTTTTTTCTGGCCAGGACCGAGATCAAAAACGATTATTCCTGCTTATAATTAATGACAGCATGTCAATATAAGATTCTATAAAATTCATTCAAAAATTTGATACGAAGTTTACTGCATCAACAAAAATAAACTTCTCAAGACTATTTAAGCATAAGCTTAGCACTTAAAGGTGAAGTTTAGTAGAAAATTATTCAGGAATGATCACTTCAATACTTGCTGTTACAAGTTTGATAGTAAAATTAATCCTTTCTTTTCGTCAACAATATATTTGTCGAGCGCATCAATATACAGAATAGACGAAGTATTAGTCAGTTAAAATAAAGTAGTCAACCTCCAAGAGGGAGTATATTAGAGGTCATGTGAGTCGTACAAAATGTCTTAAGGCTATTGATACTGCTGTGCAATCACACAAAATTGTTTGCTAGTATATGCATTACTAAGCGCGAAACCAGAACCAAGGATCTTTTCTAACCGTGCCCGAGACCGGGACGAAAAAATACTGATCCTGCTGGCGTCTAATCGTGACACAATTGTGAAATAGTGAAACGTTGACGCTTTTATCAGAGATAGAGCCTACCTGTTTAAACCGTAGGTTTTGAGAATTCCTGAGTGAGATACTTGGCTGCGATGACTGGATATTGGTCTTGCTGGATGTGAGAACCGTAGGTTCGGCCACAACCTGAGTGAAAATCTCTTCTTGCGTCTGAAACTAGCAAAAAAGAATTTTGTCCTTTTTGCATGTGGATTAGCTGTGGTGGGAACACGATTTATGGGTGCATTTAAAACGTCCGCACTGGCGTTCTACATGTTTATTACGATTCAAAAGACGATAACAGACAATGCATGTAAGCCACGTCTTAGAGTACTCATCTTAACACATATGATAGAAGAAACAGTTTAATCATTTTTTTTACGCAAGCCGATTCAGAAAACAGGAAAAGTTGGACTTTATGTCGAATTTTCTCAAAATTCAAAAATACACCAGTATCACGCGTCTTTTTGGAATTATTATATTTTAAGAGAGACTTAATTGAATGAGCTAAGACTATTTTGTGGACGCCATATATGGCCAGTATCCTTACTCATACAAAACATTTCAGATCACATCAATGTACCAAAGCCAAACTATCAGTGCTGATTATGGTAGATAAAATGCCCTTTGCAGTCAATTTTACCATCCATTACCTCAGGACTGAAGAGATTTAAGTCTGAAACTTTACTTACAACTGGATCTCAATGAGATCTCTTTGTGGTATAAATTTCAAATACTCGCCAACGCAGTGTCTGTTTTGGGCAATCTCGTCAAAATCGAAACTTTGATCAAAAATCTAATTTTACCCAGTGATTCCTCAGAACAAAACTGGGTGGATTTTCATCGAAGTAGTTGGTCCTGTAATACCGACCTGTAGTCTAAAAGTTGACGCGAAATTTAACTTGGAGTCTCTAGAAACGACCCTGACATTGATTCATCTTTATGACCTACCAATGGGGTAAACTTCCCATAATAGAAGACTCCTAATTTTAATTGATAGTTAGATAATATTAAGCCATTTATTAATATTTTTCAGTTAAAATGGCCTATTTTTCAGGATTTCTTTTTACTAAATGAAGACCTGAAATCCTGGAGAAGCTTCGAAAACTAAGGAGATTTTCCAGAAAATTTTTTAATTGAAAATCATGAAAAAAATTGTGTCATAATAGAAAAGTCCGCAGAAAACTTTGTGAGCTATGACATAAAAGAAGAGATCGGATCGTCTATTATGGGAGAAGGAGGTGGGTGTTCTTCTATCTACTAACTTGAACGATGATAAAGCATCATCTTAATCAACACATATAGGTGAATCGAAACGATGAACACAATGGTTTTACTCATTCTGCCTTCTGTTAATGCTGATTTTGAAAAACCACAAAAAAATCGGTATTTGACTCGGTATCCGACATATGAACAGATATATTGTGAATTCGACTGCACCTATTCAAGCATCCGTACTATTGTAAAATGACTCCTCAGACTCACAAAAATGCCTCCTATCCGAATTTGAGGATATGGACGTGAATAGTTATTTCATTCGCACCTATGGTCACGTGAAATCTTTCAAAGATATAATTTTTCTATATCCGTATTTTTTATCGGAAAACTCTGCCATTGAGGATGGTAACTCAGCTTATAAGAATCGATCAAACCGACGACATTGCTCTCGGATTCAGGTTCCTCATTCTCAGTTACGTCAAGTCAAGTTTTGTGACTATTCGTATTTGTGATTTTCGAACAATGCAATGGGAATGTTCGAAAAATAAGAATAAGATTATTATACGTCGTGGATATGGGAATACATCGATTTTGTCAAAATTGTTTTTCTTTAAAAAATGCTTCATTCTCTTCACGATAGTCTTCTGAGTTATAAGCAATCAATTATCAGTAAAAGGAGTTCGTTTTCAAGTATGAAAACTGTACGTTCGTCTGCCAAGCGAGAAATGCATAGTGTTGGACGCGAAGAGGGACGTGTCAAAATTATCGTTTTAAAGTAAACTCTCTATTTGTCTTTTAAGATAGGCACTTTCACAAAACATATTGAAGTTGAGTAAACAAGTTGTGTTCATCGAACACTGATTCACCTAACCATAGACTGAAGGATTTCAGAATAGCATTAAAATTTATATTAAGAACAAATTGATTGAACAAATATTATTTAACTTTCTTGACGCGTGAATTTCTTGATTTACAAAGCGCGTACTTTAGTTATTGTTAGACAAAAGAGTGATCAATTGCTGATATAATTGAGCTACTTGAGACAAAAGATTGATCGGCTATTTGTTAAACGTCAGGAAAAATATTGTAAAACAGGCAGATGGTCTCAGAAATGGCCATAGGGATCAAAATAGTTTTGCTAAAGACGTGTTAAGCCCATAAAATCTGAAACACTACATCAGCTGTTTTTTAAATTGTACTTGAGGTAGACATACATATAGAGACGTATTCCCGTTTCTAGAAGGTAATAATGTTTAACCTCGACGTAATCTGTTCGCATCTTACACCACAATTATATTCCCTTTCATACATTTCGATGAATTAATATATGATCAAGGTCATTCTATGGTCAGTTAGTTCAAAACATAGGCTTTATTATGGTCACTTACACTAAAAACCCATACCCAATCTTACAAGACTTTTATAAAAATAATCTTTAGAAGGGTCGTTTTTGGCACGATCATAGATGTTTAACTCAAATTTGTGACCAAATGAAATCCCAATCAATACCTTTTAGTTAGACCAATGGTCATCTGAATGAGAAGTTAAAATATCTTTCAGAAGCATCATATGAAGATACGAAGATGATCAGTGACACATAAACAGTTATTTATTATTGACTAGTTGTGAACATTTAACCTAAACATTCTATATCAGCCAATCAGTGATTTTTAAAATCTGTTTCAGACACACACAGAAAAATTATTTCATTTACGTTCCCAGATCCTATTCATTCAGTCTAAAGGATAATTCATTGAAAACCATTACTTTCAGATGACTGAACGGTTACCAAATCCGAATCCATACCTAAGTGCTAGCAAATGGTCGCAATTATTTTATGGGTAAGAATCATTGCCTTTCTCCTGTATTCTTCCATGCTATCTATCAAAATAGGTGGGTATCTTCTCTCCTCACACAAAGTCGAAAAGAGGGCACACTTCAAATTACCGATCTCTACAATCTTCCTCCTCATCTTGAATCTACAATACTCACCGATAAACTCGAAACTAACTGGTTTGACGAAATTAAACAGAATCCGGAGAAACCGAGTCTATTTCGAGCCACACTACGGACCATGAGATGGAAACCACTTCTGCTCGGACTACTACTTCTTGTCAATGTAAGTCTTACATTTCGATTTGTCATTTCATTCATCATGTATATATATGCCAGGAATTGTTAAATATCGCTCAGCCACTTTTGCTCATATTTCTCATGGACTTCTTCGAGCCGTGTTCTGCAATGTCCGCTTGGCGCGCATGGTTCCTAGCCATTAGTACAGTTTTTGTAGCATTTGTGTCCAGTATTATTTTCAATCAGGTCAGTATTATATTCTCCGAAAAATTTCATTGTTTTTCTCTAGAGTTATTATCAAATTTTATCCCTGGCCCTACAAATGCGTATTGCTTACACTGGTCTTGTTTTTCGAAAAGTAAATATTATGGTATATGAGATGACAGATTGAATTAATTTCAATTCTTAGGTGCTTCGTTTGTCGAGTTACTCCATGAACAATATCAGTTCCGGTAAAATCACGAACATTTTATCAAACGATGCCAGTCAAATTGAAACGGTTCTTATTTTCCTCAATTATTTGTGGGTATGTTGGTAATTCTGACGAATATTTCATGAAACTCCCATTTTTTACCCTAAGTAGATCATGATGCCTTTCTCCTAAAATATATCGTACTCTATCCTTATTATCAGCAAAGTAGAACTCCAGGATTCAAATGTGCTCGAAAAGTTTCTTTCAATAACTTACCTTCAATGTCTGATAATAGCTATCGTTTAGCAAATCTTTATGGTCAGAAGAAATTGCTTCGCTGAGTTCTGGGATTGCTGTCAGTTGAGCCTACCTGATATTTCATATAGGATCAACTTGTCTCGAGGTTACATATCCAGTGACACTACCATTTCAGTTATAGTCACTAACCTTCACAGTGCTCACAGATGAAGATCCACTGAGGCTCGCACTTCATGGTTCATTTGCCCCATTTTGTCGGTGATACTTTTTCCGCATCATAAATCTCTAATTAGTCAGCCTATAATAGGTAAATGTGTGCTCGTCATTAGGGATGACATTTTGTCATTTCTTTACAGACAACGAAATAGTATAATTTTTCCGTCACTCGTCACTGCTTGCTCATGAAGCCGTAAATGGCAAAATTGGCATTTAAATTTAAGTTTTCGTCTAGCCAAAAACGAGAATTTAAATACATTTGCGGACAACTTTTACGATTTAAATACATTTATTTTTGCATAAAGTTATAAATTCCCATGCATTTACATGCATTTAAATGCGTTCAGCAATTAAATGATTGTAAATTCATGCAAATAAAATTGATTCAAATATGTGCAAAACTAAATACATTTGAACAATCATTAACAGTTGAAGTTAAAAAATCTAATTATATTTAGTATCTTCTCTTCTATCCCTTTTCTATCTTATTCTCTCTTGATTCTCTTATATTTGTTACACTTGATGCTAACTTGTGAATAGTTCGTAGTGTATGCCATGATCGAGACTTGAACACATCTTTCCTACTTCATAACCTTTTACATTAGCCACTCTGCCACACAGTCTTGTTATGAACATATACGAGCTACCATATCATTGTCTAAATAACAAGTAAATGTGCATTTTTTCTGTGAGCGATAAGTGCATGATGCTCGTCGTTAACTGAGCCGGATTTTTTGTTCATTTTACTGGGTGTGAATGGGGTTAGAAGACTAATACGCACATTCACACCCGCTCCCAACATTTCAATGCGTTAAAATTCGCTGTGCTCATTCAGAACATAGCAAACAATCTGCTATCAGTTGCAATGAAAATCTGAAGGCACTGCCAATTGTAATAATGTTTATTGTTATTATTTTTCAGCTGTCTCCACTTGAAATTGCTCTTGTGGTCTACTTCTTCTGGTATTTCGTCAAATACGTTGCTTTGATTGCCATCGGATATACCCTTGTGCTCCTAGCCATTCAGACCATCTTCAGTCGTATATTCCTCCATTTTCAGTGCGTATTCTGCATATGCTCGTCTACTTTATAACCATTTTCTCTCATGGTAGAAATAAAATTTTGCAAGTAACGGATGAACGTGTAAAAATGATGTCTGAAATAATCAAATCGATGCGTGTCATCAAAATGTATTGTTGGGAATCGGCGATCGATAAGAATATTTGTCACGTGAGAAAGTAAGTTTTTTTTATATTGAATGCAACCGTCTAGTCTCAATCGGTTTTAGACGCGAAATCATTCAATATGCCTGTCGTTCAATACTCGACTGTATTCAACTGGTTTGTTCGCAAACTTACATTAGTGTAACATTTCTGATGATGTATGCAACAATGTGGGCGCTGAATATTCGATTTGACACAAAGTTCTTTGCCGTTGCATCCTGCTTGCTTACCTATATGCGATCACCTATCGTCGAGTTTTTTAGTATGGGTGTCAAAGCTTTCGTTCATTATATGGCTGCTCAGAAACGGATTCAAGTTAGTTTATGTGATTTTATTCGTAACAGATGGGTCATAAATAACGATCCTCTCAGTATTTTGACTATAACTTTTTTCTTTTCAATCTTTTGATCTAATTGTTTTTTCAAAAAATGCCTCGTCAATTTCTCCGTAAAACTTAATGAAATTTATTTCTATAGAAAAGTTATAGAGAAAAATTCAACGAAGACGACTCAACATGATGAAACGAACAACTTTCTAAGCTAAAAAAAGCGCTTTGCTAAACTACTTTCTTTGAACTTCATGATAAAAAGAAGAGAAGATAGGCATTTTGCAGTCCTTGAGAAGTTCTATCAATCATTATTATATGCACAAAATGATAATTCAATTTTTGAGGCTAATATCGATTTTCTCTTTCTTTCGAGGATTCCCAAAATTCGGCAATTTATATGTGTGGATTCAGAACTTTTGAAAATGTCGCATAACAAAGTTCAAAATAGTACTCTTTAGCTAGCATTTCCTTCGTTTAATCAGAAATTATTCTTGTACCAGACTCAGCGGCGAAAGTTTACCTTCAAAGTTTCTACATAAATTCATCTGCAGAAGAATTGCAGATTTTGATCGATTGCAATGGATTTGCGAATATTAGATTTTTCGATGGTAAGTTAGTTTAGAACGAGCTGTGAACTGTATAAAGAGAAAGAATGCACTTCAAAGTACTCGAAAATAGCTTCATTTTGTTTCATAGTCTTTATAGTTGCTTAAAATATTCTAAAATTTGTAAAATAAAATAGTTTAGAACGTTGATCTATTGCTTCATGTTGAGTATTCTTCGTTGAATTTCTCTCCTTTACTCTTCTATAGAAATAGATTTGATCAGATTTTATGAAGAATTTAAGGGCGCATCTTTTGGAGAAACAATCATGTCTAAGAGTTGAACGAAAGATAATATATAGTGAAAATACTGAGAAACTCATGTTTTATAGTTCACGCATATTGTATCTTACTGAACAATATTTATCAATAGACATTTCTTCTGCTTGGTGAATCTGAACGAGACAAACGATTATTGTCCCGATCGGAAACAGAGCTTGCGTCCGATGAGCAGAACGGACAAGTGATGCTTCGGAGTACTCCAACAATATCGCCAAGTGTTGTATGCAATTTGGAACGAGCACAATGGGAAATGGTATGGTTCTCGAAAAATTGAAGAAGAAAAGCCGCTTTCCAGCTCATAATTTTTCCCAGAATACATGAATACTTATTTCGCTTGAATTGAGATCGATATTTTGAGTTTCCTACAGATTTTTTTTGTACAAAGCCTGTGCTTTATATTTCATTCGACCTTCAAAACCTTACCAAATTCTTAAGAATAGTAGTGTCTGGATTTTAGATGACGCTGCTGTCCAAAAATTGTCGTTGTGGGCCTTAATAAAATTATTAGAGATACTATCGAATTTCAATTTTGAAATTTGGCGTCAGGTGATAGCATTTTATCTCATTTCTTGTTTTGAAGTGCCATACCGATTCGTTCATCAAAATAAATGTACCACTTGTGGTGATCAACCAAAACTTTTACGATTCGAGAAGTTGTAGAGCAACTTATTTTCCATGAAAAGAAGAACTTTTATTCATTAGTAGATGTTTCCTTACGCAATTGAATTGGTAGAGACAACTATCCAATGACAAAATAGCAAGAGTAGATAATACTTTATACCAATGTTTCTTTTAAGAAAGAGCAAAGGGCGTGTACATAAACTCGATTTGTCATTTTTGCATTATTGTAGCCACATTAAAAGTTAAAAAATAATTTTCTTAAGTTTTGAAATCTGCTGATTACGTTTGCATTGCCAAACTATGCGAAAAATTGAGAGATTTGGGATCTCACCAGACTAAGCTTGTTTTGTAACACAGTTATGGAATCCGACGTTTTCCAAGAAAGTAACTAAGCTTAGTGAGCAGAAATCAAAATTTTTGCTTAGGACAGCTGCACTGTTCATGTGTGACACAGTGAAATTTTATCGATGCCAGATGTTGCAGCCAATAGTTTTTCGGAGGATTGCACGTTGATAATGTTCGTATAACTTTCTGTTGATATTTTCAAGTCGAGGACTAAATCATGTCAATTTTGTTACTAGTAGCATCTCATATTTTAGAGAACTATTGGTTTGAGAAATTTTTACAATATCATTCTTATACATTGGAATGTGCAAAACCATATATACAGTCTTTGGACGTGTGTAGTAGTAGATTTGTGGATTAATTTGCTGATGTTTCGTCTTTCATTTAGAATGCATCATTTTCTCTCGACAGTATTGTATTCAATGCTCATCCAGGTGATTTAATCTGTATAGTTGGACCCGTTGGATCTGGCAAGGTCTGAAAGTTATCTTGAACACAAATACTCACTAGTATTGATTTCTAGAGTTCTCTCTTGCAAACACTTACAGGTGAAATCTCCTTTTTCGATGGGCATGTCCGATTGCACGGTTCATTTTGCTACGTACCACAAGAATCATGTGAGTATTTTTAATTCAAATAGTAAAACTATTATGGATTGAATCAGGGATCTTTTCTTCGACGATTAAAAAGAATATTCTATTGGGCAAAGGCTATGATCCACAGTTGTTTCAACGTGTTGTTCAAGCAACTACACTTGATTCCGTAGGTATACTTAACTACAATACTTCATATATGACATACTTGTGCAATAGGATTTTGCTCAATTATCAAACGGAGAGAACACTCTTGTTGGCGATCAAGGCGCCATGTTATCGGGTGTAAATAGTTTCACTTGAATAAAGATTCTATGTAAATCGTTGTTTTTCGTCTAGGGTCAAAAGGCACGAGTAAATATGGCTCGAGCACTCTATCGAAATGCGGACATTTATCTTTTGGATGATCCTCTTTCGGCCGTCGATGTCAAAGTAGCCAAACATCTCTTTGAAAAGTAGACAAATTCTAGTATTTAGTTGAAGAAAGAAAGAAAGAAAGAAAGAATTATCGATTCTATTATAGATCAATTAAAGGTTATCTCAGAGAGAAAATTTGTATTTTGGTCACACATCAAATTCAATATTTGCAAAATGCAACCAAGATCATTCTTCTTTACAATGTATGTGTTTTACGCATTGAATTTTTCAGCAACCAGATGCTATTCTAGGGCGAAATAGCAAGTATGGGTACCTACAATGATTTACTTGCCTCATCCTTATTATTCTATCATCTACTCGACGATATGCATCAACACGAGCAAGAGCAGTCTGTCGATCTTCATCATGAACACGAACAAGAGCATCCTGTCGATCTTTGCCGTCAACAATCAATTATCAATTCAACAAGTTCGGAGACAGAAGACGAGTTGTTTGTGTTGTCTACAAGTGTTGAAACAAAACAAAAAGGCAGATTAAAATGGCATGTGTATGCTGCATACGTGCGAGCCGGTGCTGGCATTGTTGTTGGCTTTCTCCTTGTACCGCTCGTTTTGGCGGTACAACAAGCAGTATATATTTTTAGCAGTTGGTGGTTGGCAGCATGGAATGATGACGAAAGTTATCGACATCAAATCTTTGACAATTGCACGATTGGTCAACAACACAACACAATATGGTCTATGACTGATGCTGAATGGAATAATTATCGAAATCGACGATTCTATATCTATTGGGGTCTGTGTACATTTTGTGAGCTCATTCTATGAAATTTCAAATTAAATTTTAGGAATTATACTCATTTTTGTTTTGATTACTCTCTTCCGCACTGCTGTCATCGAATTGATGTTTTTAAATGCTGCACGAGTGCTTCACAACAAGTAAATATTTCCGTCGTTTCGATGTAACGCCTCAATTGATTTTCTTTAATAGGATGTTTCGACAACTGATTCGAGCCCCTATTGTTTTCTTTGATACAAATCCTGTCGGTAGGTGAAATATAATGGAGATGTATTATCGAAGCACCCTTTAGAGTGATGGAGCATATTGACTAGAAATCTTTCCTTCCGACAGACTTTTGAGCTGAAAACCTTTATAGATTGAGGACAAAATCATTTCTGTACATGGAAATCTCTTCCTCTCCAACGCCCTTAAAAGTCTCTGAAATCCTTCATGTTTTTCTGAAAAATTATTAGAAATAGTACGACCTAACAGAAGATCTCATTGAAACTTTTTGTTCTGAGACATATTAGAAAACACAAGATCTTCTAAACAGGGAGTTGAGGATAGTAATTACATCATTGACTTCTATGGATAAAAAAGAAACGTCTGCTTTCTGCATTCATAATCTGGTCCTTGCACAAGAAGATAATTCAGGATTGGTCAGAATGGATCAACGATTAGAGTGAGAGTCAGCCGATTTGTTTTTGGTGAAATCACCATGGAAATCAACAGAGCGTAAGAAAAAACTTTTGCTTCTGCTGGAGAAAACAAAGATTTTTCAAACTTTATAGTGTCATCCTCCGCGCTTTGGTCAGTCCTGAGATATTAATAACACACAGCCCAAGATCAAATAATGGGACCAATTATTTTGCATTCAATGTGTCATGTCGACAACATGACCTTCTCTTCAAGATTGATTTAAGAATGATCATCAAGTAACTGTAGAAATCAAATGTCGAGTTGATATGTACCATGGATGATTCAATTGTTTGCAGATTCTTTACTCAGTGCCATTTCTGAGCATTTGTAGTGGAAGTTCGGTACTGTCTAACACAATATTTCGTACCAGACTTCTGAATTTGAAAAAGTTTCTACACCATAATTGTAAGAAGACCAATAAAACGTTTCGATCTTGATCCACCATGGAACAATTTGGAATTATGATTAGTTCGTCAAGTTCTGAAAGTTCACTTTTGTAACATAATTATTAGAAGTAATTACTTCCATCGACAATAGAAAAGACATGTGTTTCACATAGGCATATGTATGTGAAAGGACCAGAAATGTTTTATCATCGCACAAACTATAACATCTCCCAGTCTCTGTTTTACGAACATTTCTTTGTACTAAACATATTTGCCATATATATATACACTCGTTTGCTGTTATAGGCCGGATCTTGAATCGTTTCACTAAAGATGTGGCCATCATGGATGATTCTCTGCCAACTGATGCTTTTGACTTTCTCGATGTGAGTCGATCAAATATTATTCATGTGTATTTTCTTGTTGTTTAGTGTTGTTTTCAAGTTTTCGGCGTAGTTGTCCTAGTGTGTTGGCTCCATCCATGGTCCATCATTCCTGCGCTAATTTCTATCGGGGGCCTGTTATTTGTACGCTATCATTTTGCGTCAACTTCTCGTGATTTGAAACGACTCGAAGGTATTACACGAAGTCCTGTCTATTCTTACTTAACATCGACTATTCATGGTCTCAAAGTTATTCGATCCTATCGTGCTGAAGATATGTGGTCGGCCAATTTTCTAGAGCGTCTGGATGATAATACACGAGCAAACCATCTAATCATCGCAACTAATCGTTGGGCTGCGATCCGCTTCGATTGGGTTGCACTTATCTTCGTCAGTCTAGTTACATTGCTTGCAATGGTTCTACGTGTCACTAAATATCACCATTTTTCACCGGCCGAGATTGCTCTCGTTCTCTCATATAGTCTCAGCCTCGTGGCTTTGCTGCAATGGACAATCAGGTAAAAATAGTATGAATGAAATTTGTATGAATTGTTGATTGTTACAGACAATCTGTGGTAATTGAGACACAAATGACCTCCGTCGAACGTGTACTCGATTACTGTTCTCTAGATCAGGAACCTCCAGCTCAAGTGCCGCACGATCTTCGGCCGCCATCAAATTGGCCATCCCATGGTCAAATCGTCTTTGATAATGTTTCAATGCGTCATTCCACACAAACATACTTACCACTTGATTTGCGTCATATTTCGATGACAATCCAAGGTGGTGAAAAAGTAGGCATTGTCGGAAGGACGGGTGCCGGTAAGAGCTCTCTCATTCAAACGCTCTTTCGTATGGGCACACTTGTTGATGGTCAAATCAAAATTGACAATATTGATATCGCTTCTGTTGGCTTGGACGATGTTCGACGTCGCATTTCAATAATTCCACAAGATCCTGTGCTTTTCACGGGTACTATACGAAGCAATCTCGATCCGTTCATGGATTATTCAGATGAGGAAATATGGCATGCGCTCGAACAGGTCTTTTGTCAACTAATCGAACGGGGGAACCTCTTCATCTGCTAAAAAGCTTTCGAGCTCAAAACTTCGTCCACAAGTAGGCAATGTATAGAATAGGAAAATCCTAGGAGAATATGGACGCAAGTTGCAATTTTGCTGAGATATCGACGTTTTAGTGTAATTATTCTGAAGTACTCCACTTTTGTGGTAAAATCAAAGCTTTGAATTTTGACCTGACACTTTGCTCATATCAAACAATCAATCAGACTAGGTTACCTACAAAGTTTCACTGATTTTGGACAAATTATCTTCGAGATACCAGTGTGCTAGTAGAAGGACACTTTTCTATATAATTTGTGTTATGCATAAATATTTTGAAAAAGTAATAGTTCAAATATGATTTGTCCAAAAACTCTTAAACTTTGTAGTAAAGCTATTCTGACTGAAGTCTTGATGTAGGCAAAGCTTCAGGTCAAAAGTCAAAACTTTAATTTTACCGAAAAATTGAAGTGCTTCAGGATAATCACAGTAAAACGTCGATATCTCAGCCCAATCGCAACTTACATCCATATCCTTTTTGGATTTTTCTAGTCTATACATCGCCTACTTGTGGACAAACTTTGAGCTCAAAAGCTTTCCTCGTAAGACTGTATTATTAACTCGAAATTGTTACAGGTCCAATTAAAAACACTAGTGACCGAAGGAATGCCGAATGGACTTCATTCGATGGTGAGCGAAAGCGGTTCGAATTTGAGTGTCGGCCAAAAACAACTCGTGTGCTTGGCTCGAGCTATTCTGAAACAGAGCAAAATACTTGTCATTGATGAAGCCACTGCCAATGTCGATAATGTGTACGTGAACAACTCTTTATAGAAACTAGGGTTGCCGGATCTTCTGAAAAATCAGGAAAGTTTCTAAAATTTGACCGATTTTTTTTATCCCTTTCTGATTCTCCTATTTCTCTCTAATTTTTTTCTGAACTATGAAAATTTTTTAGATTGTAGCTTTCCCAGTAAAAGCAGATGTGATTATGACCAATAGAACATAAATAGGCGTTATCTTTTTTCTCTCTTGATTATTAGATAATTTCTTAACAGAGCTTTGAATGTGATGGACCAATCCCATCCCATGAGATTTTCTTTTTTTTATCTCATGAAAAAACGTAGACTCTTTTCTAATGAAATAGGCATTCAAGATACTTTATAGGAGTGCTAGACCATAGGGTTTATTATACTCTCATTGTTAGCCTTTTTCTTCAATAGCAACAGTTTCATTTCTTACTTTCTTGTCCTATTTTGTATAGAAAAATGTTTAATATTTTCACAGTAGTTTAAACAATGAAAACTAAAACTAACTTTGAGGAGTTCTGTATACTTTAAGTTCATTAAAGTTTTTTAATACTTTCCCACCATAACTATTGATTATACGAAAAAAAAAGCCAAGTTTCTAAGGAATATTTACTATCTCTACTTCAAATTAGTTTTCCACGTTATGTCTGTATAAGTTTTGGTTAAGAGAAGACCAATGGGTAGATAGAAAAACCTGATGGATTCTGCTGAGTCGTAACAATGATAGAATCTACAAGCGTACGCGAAGATCTAGAGAAATCCACCGAATTGTACCAGAATACGAAAAGATCTTCAATGATCCTTAACGATCTGGGAAAACTAATTAAAGTCATCAGAAGCTGAGCATTCATGAATGAAAAATGCATTGGAGAAGAAGCGTTATGAATTCTTAATGCTTAGAGACATGACATTGAAATCTTCTAAGAAAACAGACGAATTCTAAATTCTGGCAGAGCCCAATAAATTCTACTGGATGTCAATGGATTTCGATGAATTTACTATCATGTTCTTTGTAGTTCATCAAGATCTTAATGTCATAAATGCACAATTTTGTTCTTGAAGAAAGCAGTAAGATTTATGTAATTAGTACAAAAAAAATTAAAATGCGAAATAAACTGGCCATAACGGAAACAGATAGAGAGAAACTGAAATGATTGAATAAGAAAGTCATGGAAGTCGATTCAAGCCTTAACAAAATATTTTCACTAGACTAGTTGTTACATATGACTAATGGGATAGGATGAAACGGCCTGCAAATTCCATTTAGAGCCCCAATGAGAACGTAATAGCCACTAGTTTGCCAAAAAACATTGCTATCTAATTAATTTCTGATTTTGAGAAAAAAATTCTGATATTGAAGTGTTTGATCTGGTAACTCTAATAGAAGCCGTTAAATATCATACTATATGTAGCACGGATGGATTAATACAACGAACCATTCGTGAGAAGTTTAGCGAATGTACAATTCTGACTGTGGCTCATCGTCTGCGGACAGTGATCGATAGTGATCGCGTTCTGGTATGGAAATTTCAACTAGAGTTTGGTTTCTGTTCTAATTTGTTGTGTTGAAGGTACTTAGTAATGGGAAATTGCTCGAATTCGACACGCCCGTTGTGCTGCTCTCGAATCCCACTTCTCATTTTACTTCACTCGTCGAACAGGGCGGATCGGTCGAAGCCAAACATCTTCGAGCTTTGGCAAATGCAAAATCGCTACAGCAAATTGTTGATCACGGGTGCATCAATGATGACATGAATATTAACACTAACTAGCAGTAGAGATATTGCGTAACTTTCTATTGACAAACACCTGTTTCTATTCTTTTTCTTTCTCTTTCTTTTCATGTATTAATCATCTTTGTCTCACTAGAGACACGTTGTAGCTTTCCTATATCTATGGTTTCCCATTTCTCCCTTTATGGTATATGATCAGCGAGAACGACGAGTACAAAATCAAGTTTTCAATGTCTCTTTTTCATTGGATAGGTTTCTATCAGAAATCTAAGCATCGATCACAAAACATTTGCCAAATGACCGTCATCTACAGCGCATATGATTGAAAACTCGACTTAATGTCTTTCGCCCTCTCTGACTGTAAACCATTACCCTATTTCCATGGACTATTTTCTCTCATTCCCCAAGTTAATGTAGCTACCAACTGTTGCTGTTATTCCTGTTTCTACTCTGATATAGATTGTTGATCATTAACCATTATTAAAGACAGATTTCTTAGGACTACTTACCTTGATTGACTGATTGTTGTCATGGACAAGGTGAATAAGCGGTTTTCCGTGAGAATTTTTTCCCTTGCAGACCGAGAATCCTATCACAGTGTTCTTTTCGGCTTGCGTGACTCACAACGGCAGAACCATTGGGCTTGCCCTCAAAGCACAAAGAAATCACTTATAATCTCAATCAGAAGTCATTTTCAAATGGTAACGACACCGATGTCTTCTTGCATAGACTATTGCGACAAATAAAATGAAATGAGTATTGAAGTATATGGCGAGGAAAGTGAACATCCCCTTTCGCACAGATCGTGACAAACATTTCCGTATGCTCGTCTTTTAACCTCACCATGGATGACAATACATGTGGCGAGGGCTCTCGTTTACGGTTAAATTGACGTCATTGTGTTTCACATTTTAATTCCGCAGAGATTGCGCTGAATTTTTTTTTCTATCACAGTGCAATTGAAATTAACGTAGACGACATTTTCGTCAGTTTTTCTATACTATTGATTCATGTGAGGACTTGTGACTTATCGGGTGGCTAACTCTAAAGAGTGAGTAGAGAATGTGCAACGCAGCATGAACTATATTGTCGACAACTATCTATGATTGTCACTTTACTTTAATCGGAGTTACATTCGTCGGACTAACCCAAGGAGAAAACGGCGAATCTTGTATTTTCAGGATTCCGAGAATTCCCATTGTATTTCCAAAATTTTCATTTAGATCTTAAGATCTTCATCGTACTCCTGGAAACTTCATTTAGTTCTGTGGATCTTCACCACATTATATAGTCAGAACTACTCGATTAAACTTTTGAGAACGAAACAATTTGTTGCCATCAGTAGTCTAGACACGTCATCTAATAATATAGGCATCAAGTCAACTGGGACAACAAAATAGTTTAGTTTCTTATTTTTATTGAAAAAAAAGAGAAAACAGGAAATAACAAGAACATATAATATCAAACTAATCTATAGTATCTTCCATGTAATCTTTTACTTATCCAGCGACTCGACTCTTGAGCACATTTAAGCCGATCAGCTTATGGCACAGTCGTATCATCTGTTAAAAGCCAACAAGATATCGTCGAAGACTCTCATTCCATGAAATCGAGATTTGTCCCTTGCTGAAAAGAAAGCACATTATCAGTTTCGTCTTTAGACGAACTATATTCCTCTGATTTCGTTAAAAAAAATAACACCAAATTTGAATTTGTAGTTTGACTTATCATCAAATGAGTAGCTGAGACAGTCATAATACGAGACGTTTTAAATTTTTTATTTTTAAATTGAGCTCGTATAAACGAGTTCACTTGTTTCATCATAATTTTTTTCGCTTTGTCCAAAGCAATATTAACATCAAGTTCAGAGAGAAGACCATAGGCATGATCAAAAGCTAGACAAATAGTCTTTTCAATATAATCATATGTAAGACGATCGCTGAATGAATTGAAGACTGATTTTTTCCAAGCAGAGTCTTTTATACAATACACGTGATAGATCTGATATGAATGTGTTAGTTTGTCTAGTTCATCAGTCATGCAATGTCAATTCCACATTGTCAAACTCTACGCTCAACTCTGTAAAGAGTTCATTGCCTTAATAAGAGACACGAACCATGGGAAATAAAACAGTGAGCTAGATGCATATTGCCCTATTTGTTATCACAAATGTTATAATCATGATAATACTGGATGAATTCATTTCTCTGGCTGTTCGACGAAAGATTGAGTACATTGAAAACTATTTATTAATCGAAAATGTTTACTTTGCATAACTCTAGTAGTTTCATTAGCTTTTTTTGGTTAGAGACTTTTTGTATCAGATTTCAGACATGATGACATCAAAGTGTCAGTAAAGTAACCGCTACGGTTTTTCTTTTCCTAAGACTGAAAGAAGATGCAAGATTTGTTTCAAGAGAATAGTTATATAGGATGCTTAATCGTTAAGGACTATCTCAATTTAGGAAGTATTTGTATTTGTTAAAGAAAAAATCGAATACAGCTTTACACGGCTCAAGGTAACGGAGAAGCATAAGTTTGTGTACCTATGCGAAGTTGTCATCATTCAAAACTTGATCTTATACAGAGTGTCCTATCTGACAATGTAGGTTCAATGTTTATTTTAGGATGATGTCATGGGACTCGAATACTGACAGTCGAATCTAATTATTTTGAACCATATACGAAGAACGGGTTAAAGAACATCCTGAGATATACCATAGCCCAATGCGATATATTTATTTAATTTTGCAAAAGAAATAAAGATAACATTACCCATTGGTGATCATGGTTCGAGAGAGACACTTCTTCTTAGTTTTCCATGTTAAGAGAATTTAATTGAAATAATCGAGTATAAATGATCAGTCTAAATGATGGATCACTAACGATTAGCTGAATATAATTGCATCTTGCAAGAAAATCTGTTCAGATATCAAATCATTTTTCGTATAGAACTATTGCTATAAGATAGGTCCTTGTGAATAGTGTAAAAGTCTGTCTTGGTTTTGATGTCTGAGCCTCCGAGATCAATATATCAAATTTTCGAGTGATGAACGAAATAGTCTTTTGTTATCAAAAACAGAAATTCATGCTGAGTCTTAAAAGATTCCTCATTCGATTCTCTACGAAGTTACATAAGAACGTTTGCTCTAAACTTTCAATTACAAAAATGGCGGAATAATACTACACTTCTACAACGTATAAACCCTCCAAAATGTTTTTTTTCTGAAAAATTGATGTGTTCGTTCTATTATTGCACAAGGTGAAAAAGTGAAGCTCATTTGACCCAAGTATTATGACGCACAGGCCAACTTCTTGAAACTGGCTTGAAAGCAAGCGAAATTTGACTTATTTTGCTCATTCCATACGAATTCATAATTCTATTCTCATTATGAGGTAACTATGTAATGTAACATTCATGTCTCTTCAAACTTTTATCAAATTTTCTAAAGATTCCAAGATTGTTAATTTAAAATCGTGCTTTTTGCAGGTTATGAAAAGAGGACATCTTTTTCAAAAAGATGGACTTTAGTACAAATAGTGATGGAACATAATTGAAAGATAGAACATTTTGTGGACTACGAAATAATTAACAAGTTTGTTTGAAGAGTTAATGTTTGAATGAATAAAACTAGAACAATTGATTTTTATCTTGAGGTGTTACATATGTTGCAGTTCATTTTATTGTCATGTTTTTTTCACGAGAAAAGTAAAAAATGATCAATATTGGTAGTGTGAGAGTTGAACAATGTAGACAAATGCATGCAGAGACATGATTGGCAACATAAAACTAGAAAATGAGTCGAGTTAGGGTCGCAAACAGCTACTGCGACGTGCTAAACCGTTACCATAGTCACATGCCGGGCAATCCGCCTCAGCCAAGAACTTTACTAGAGCCATAGTAAACATTTCTGGATCCTGCATAAACGCAAAATGGCTCGTTCTCGGCAGGATGAGTTCACCTGCTTGTGGAATCCAACTAGTCATCGTATCTGGTTGATCTCGCTTGATAGCTTCTTCATGATCGCCAACTACTATCCATACAGGCAAATCTGGAGAAATCTTGGCAAAGTCATCTCTCGTCCAATTCGGAAGACTACCCGAAATTGCTGTTAAATTATTGTACAAATGCTGAAATTGCTTGATTGGACTCAGTGTTTCGTATTCGACCTGTACACGTGTGAAATACGCAATAGCAACCGACGATTTAGACACATATTTTATATCAGAAAAAACATAGTTTGCTGCGAATGCAAACAATGAAATCAATCTCTGAGGGTAATTCATCGCCAAATTGAACGCAATATTTGCTCCAGCACTCCAGCCAACTACATGAACCTGATTAATGCCAAGGTAGTCGAGCAGACCGACGACGTCAGAAGTCATTAGATCATAATTAATATTTTCTGATGAGGATGAGCTTCGACCGTGTGCTCGAGAATCCATCAGAATACATTTGTAAGTGTATTGCAACTCTTGAACTTGTAATCCCCACCAATCACTGCTAGCGAATATACCATGAAGAAAAAGAACAGGAAAACCATTTTCTGGTCCATAAATAGTATACCAGATGCTAATATTATTGATTTCTGCATATCGGTCGGAACGAGGAGAAGGAAGTTGAGGCGTTGGTGGCAGTCGTAGCCATGGATATATTGAATTTAATACTGTCGTATCTTCAGCTGTAATGAATCGAACGACATAGGCGAACACGAGAAGGATGAGATGCATTGTATTCTTTTCGTTATGTTAATTTCGTAAAGTTTTATGCGCACAATATTTTTCTCTTGTGCTTTGTTGGATATCTTTCACGAGCAATTGCTTCACTGATAAGTACTCGCACAAGGCATTCAAAAACTCAAGAGCAATGTATATTGACCAAGCGCTGAGATTGATGTATTTACGTAGCTTTCTATCAAAAGAACAAGATAAACAGACACGTGGTACTAAGAATGTCTCAAGTAACAACAGCAAAGTTTGCATTCGTTGATTGTCAGCAGGATTCTTCAACTACTGAAGTCTAACTTTTAGGTTGGAAGCATACTCATTACCTGTATGAATGGCTCTTTCTTGCATACAACGTGAAAAGCTTGCTCTTACTTCAATATATTGTTGTTAAAAGCCCAAACCATAATGCGGAATGCTGAAAGTAAAATTTGATGTTTTCAATAAATCACAAGAACACTTCGAAATATCCAGCAAGCCAAAAGAATGCCATCAATATCGTCTAAATGCATTCCTAATGGCTGCTTCTTCAAATGTGGCTGTAAGTTTATCGTAGTGGATAGACTCCTAGCTACTATGACGTTAACATTTCGGTCTTGCTGCAGAGTCTCGTCAGATGGTATAAGAGATTGATGGAGTGTTATCTCTCAATTAGGTAGAAGTCTACTACATCTTATCAAAAAATGGTTTTTTCTACCAAACTAATGAATAACAGATTTTTACTGTACTTAAAAATGCTTGTCCAAAACAAGTTCAAAACCAAATTCAAGCCATTTTGACTTAGAATAAAATTCTAAATACAAGATCTGGTAGAGCAAATATTGCTCTAGAGAATTCACTATGTCACCAAATCATGGAATCGATCTTAAGGGATTTTTTGTGACCTCTTTTTGGGTCTCTTACCTTCATCAAGCCTATCCGTACATATCAATGAAAAATGGAAAATGGCATATGTGTGGCTGCGCTGTGTTTTGTGGAGCAATAGTATATAATTGGAATTGATTTTGGTCGCTACCGTCTTGAAAAAATATAAATTACAAGATTAACTATTTTCTAGAGTTGTATGAAAATAGCCAAAATCCACTCAAACCTGTGGAACCTATCTCTCTCGAATAATAAAATTCGAGACTCTAATTGTTTTATTGTAAATACAATTCATTGATGTCTACCAGATAAGCTTTATATTTGCCGATCTACAGACTTCATGCGTATTACGTGAATGACATTATATAGAACAACCCCAATATATTTGTTCTCTTAGACAAGAATAAGCGACATCTAAGTTTTTTCGATTAACTCTTCACACTAGTGTTGTTTAGGATGATCTTTATACCACAAATACATATCTTCTTATTCAGTGTACTCTGAAAACTTCGGCCGTAAATAGCAAGAATTTGTTGAGAAAACTAGAATATTGGTGTTCCATAATTCGTGAAAGGCTACAGTTCTTTGTTGAAGCTAGCTGTGGTATATCAAAACAGTTTTTGACAATATTTCTCTTATGAATATGATTTATTATCATTCCTTTATGAGTAGTAAAAATCTCAACCCATTTGATCATATTATGACGAAGATACTCGATTTTTTTCTTGTTTCGTGAGGGTGTGGATGTTGGTGTTTCTGTAAATGAGGAGAAGAAAATGTGGACATCCACTCTAACAGCCACATTCACATCCACTCCTCACACTCTTTAAATGTCTGTTACAGTCTATGAGCGGATGGAAAGACTAAGATGCTTCTCTCTCGCTCTCTTTCCACATTCAGTTTAATATATTGCAATTAAAATCTTTTGTCACGGACACATATTGACAGTACGTACTAATTTAAAAACAGAAGATATATTACTAAATTCTTTCAATTACAATGTAAGTAGCTTCATCATGTTTCACATTTTGATCCCACAGGAAATAGTGTTAGCAGTTTTCCTTTGATAGAGAAAAAATCGTTTTAAACGTATGTTAATACTGTATTTCTTTCATCTGCAAATTAGCACTAGTATTTATTTGATGAGTGCATAAAAGAGAAATGTTTGTGATATATTGAACAGAAAAAAAAGTGATAATACCATATGTAAATAATCTTTAATAAGTCCACTTGTTAAACAACTAAAACAAAAATTGGATCGGATGACAGTAAATAATACAACAAATGATAATCCGAGAAATCCATCACACTTTCAATCTGGTGGTAAAAAACTTCATCGAGTAAGCAAGAATACAAAAAGATTTGAAATAATATTTTTCTATCTCATACAGGTTGCTAGCCTTACTTGTCAAGGATTAACAGCTATTACTAGTGAATGTTTAATCTCAAAAACCACGTCCAATGTTACAGCTTATCTACGTAATGGGTCGCCTCAGGCATTAAGTATTTATCTCAAAATTCGAAATAAACGTTTATAGTACATTGTCGAGCACATTTGAAAGTGCAAGAAAGTATATTTTGTTATTCGAAAAATTATTTCTATGAGTGTTTAAAGACGTATACACTAAGCACTTATTGTCATATTGTCCATTGCAGTTTTTTTTTGTCTTACTTTGAAAGTACAATCTTTCTGCTGGCACAAGAATAAACTTTTGTCCTTTCCTCCATGTTGAGATATTTTCAAAATAAAATTTAATCAATATCGCTGTAACAACATTACAGAAAGACCATATTTTAAAACTCTGGTGAGTCACTTACGGAACACCAGTAAACAAACCAGTGGACCATAATTAACTTTTCACGTCGATTCTGAGGCACTACTTTTTTTCTCAAAAATATTGCGTTTTGAGATAGATAATCGTAACGCTGTTACGAAAACCTAATTTTTGGTAACTTAAGGTTGACCAAAAATTCTGATCACGCTGAATAAAAATAAAAAAAATGAAGAGATATCTTTAATTTTTATTCTATCAAATGTTCAGAATAGTTGCCATAATTACTTACATACACCAAATTCGATACTTTCTCGTAATTTGTTAAAAGTTTGTTTGAGCTCTTTTTCTAAAATATTTTTTATTCCCTTGAAAATCGCATGAGCTGATCATGTTTTATTTTTCTGTTCGGTTTCAAGAATTTGTCTAAAAAGTTGGCAATTTTTTCAAAGATCATATCTGTAGTGTCCCGGTACTTCTATTGATGAGGTATAGATTTATTTTAGATAGGCTGGTCGCAAGTCATGTGACCCCAGCTGGATTAATGTATATGAATCTTCAAAGATTATTGTTCATGGAGACACATTTGAACAAACAGTTGTTTTGTATATCCTTTGAATAAAATTGTCCTGCTCTTATACATAGTACAGATAAGGACAAGACTGTAAATCAAAAGTATTATATCAAACATTGCTTCAAGCGTCTCTGTCAATGAAATAGAAACATAGATAGTCATTAGATACAAAAGTTTTAAAATTCCTTGACGATAATATTCTACCTTGTACTCATTCAAATGTTATTACTTATTCAATAGAAGAAGGTATCAGTATAATGTCACATTAGCTGTAAACACTAGTCCTTGCACTATATAATTTTTTGGCTAAATGATTATATCAAGAGTAGTTAAAACTGCCCTAGCAAATTAAGCATGATTAGTTCATGCAGTTTTCAAGGGAATAAAAAGTATTTTAAAAAAAAGAACTTAAACAAATTTTTAACAAAGTATTAGATAGTATCGAACTTGATATAAGTAATTATGGCAACTATTCTGAACGATTGATAGAATAAAACTAAAAATGTTTCTTTATCTTTTTGATTTTTATTCAGCGTTTATCAGAACTTTTGGTCTACTCCAAGTATTTGCAAAGACATTGTCAGTATGGCAATTAGATTGAAATTTTGCAAACTACTTTCAACAGGGAAGAATATACCTTTAGGTGAAGAACGAAAACGAGGACGACCACAAAAAGCAACAAAAAGTTTATTAATACGATAACTGAGTAATTAGATTTTTTACTTGTATATTTATAGCTTTTTACTTAATAAAATTTGTTTTGTTTATCAAGACATATGTAAAATTTCGCTTAAAAAATCAATTTTTTTTACTTAGACTTTAAATAAAATACTTAGCAAAAATTTTTTTTCTACTTAGGATTTTTTTATTAATTTACTTAGAAGAACAAGAATTTTTTACTTAGTATTTAGTAAAAAATACTTGCCATATAAACCAGAGTTGTATTAGATCAGTAGGATATATTTTTATTGTTCGTCAGAGAAAAAAAAATGAGTGTAATAACGTCTTGGTGTTACTATTTCCGACGATGACGTATATCAGAAACAACTTGTTTGCTTAAGATTAGAAGAAAAAGAATTCTCTCCTTGGTGATAACGCTTCTTTTCTACATATTACCTCAGATCATCGTTATACTTATATCAAAGGAAAAAAAGAAGCCATCTGTGTGTATTTAGGATGGACTTTTTTTCTTTCTTCTTGTAGACGACAACATTAGGAAATTACACTCGAACAGTCGTTTTCTGGCTTTCTTATCGCATCAATAATAACAATAACAACTATCGTTTGCGTATATAAGGTATATAATTTAATGGACATATTAAGGACACGAAAATGAAAAATTAATGAATCTTTCTTTTTTTGAATCGGATGATGCTAAATATATCTACTAGATACTTTATGAAACTCATCGTCTTACAGCAGAAGTTTATGCGTACTTCGTATTTACTGTTAGCTTTGCATCAGTAGCTGATGACTTTTTTCATTAGATGCAATTGAGAACTCCGTTAATATTTCCGATAGCAATTGAAAATTTTTTACATAATGACAAATCTTAGTCAAAATAGTTTTTGATATCATTTGATTTCATATCTTGATGATGGATAGATTTTAATAAAACTAAAGAAAGCCTAGAAAAATTCTTGTCTATGGCATTGTTGAATTAGGATCTGATGTCTTTTATATCAAAAATATCTTTTTTCTTTTGTTATCTAAGTAATTGAGATTTAAAAAAATTCTCAAAATATACAATCCTGTTTCATTTTGCCTTTTCTGCATCATCCACGAGCAGCAATAGAAAAATGCGCGCATGGTTTTGTTTTTTCTTTTATCAGTCAGAATATCAATAGTGAAAAGTGATCACAAGTAGTGAGAACGAAAACAGTTTTTCTGTATGTTACTCTTCATATTTTCGTTCTTTATCGTAAGTATAGAACATTCCAGTCAAAATATCTCATAAAAACAAAGTAGTAATGAACTGGCTTTTGTAAGAAAGTTGACTTCTCTTTTATGCATTAAAAGTACGATTTTCGGGTGAACATCAATACTTACTTATAAATGAAGAGCGTTGACTTCTTTTTTGAACAGACACCTTCAAACTCTGAATGAACAAGGTCAATTCAATTTCTCGAATAGGACAGTCTAAAAAGTCCGTTGTAATACCGATTGTACTGAATTTTCGTATTCGTTCTGCTCGCATCATTACAGATGACACATTATGAGAAATTGGTAGACACCGATGTTGGCCAAAATACATAATCGACTTGCATCTAATATGTTGCATATAGCTTTGTGTCCGTGGTATATACATGGTTTTTACTAGAAGTTTGAATACATGAAAATGTTCACATATTTAAAATATCTATTTTTTGTCTTTTATTTCAGTTTTTTTCTATATTTGATTGTAAATTGAACAATTATTCATAAACCACAAGCAGAAATTGGGGAAAATAGCTATTACTATTTCATCACGACAGAATGCAACGGAACAATAAGAATACCATCTATCTTTTCGTTTTCGCACTCTTCCACTTTTTGACATCGATTAAAAGTGAAAATTCTACTGTACTCAATTCAGAATATCCATGGTTACGTCTTCCACCCACACCTCAACTTCCTTATCCTCATCATGGTCAATATGCACAGATCAATAATATCAGCATATGGTATACTATTTATGGACCAGAAAATGGTACGCCTGTTCTTTTTCTTCATGGCGGACTTTCAAATAGTGACTACTGGGGTCTACAAGTTCAACAACTTCAAAGTACTTACAAATGTATTCTAATGGACTCTCGAGCACAAGGTCGAAGTTCATCATCGTCTGCCAATATTACATACGATTTGATGACTTCAGATGTTGTTAGTCTAACTTGATTATCTTGGTCTAAGCAAGGTTCATCTTGTTGGCTGGAGTG